ACAGTGCCCTTAATGACATGCGTTAACTTTTGGTCAGCTCTGAAGTGGACAGACGGTGGGACTACGTGGTCGTTGTAGCTTTTTGCCAACTAAATGATCTGATCTAGTCTAGGGTTTTTTTCTTTTTTCCTTTCTCCTTTCCCCTTTCGCCTTTTCTTTCTCCTTTCCTTTTTCCTTTCCCCTTTCTCCTTTTCTTTCCCCTTTCTCCTTTTCTTTCCCCTTTCTCCTTTTCTTTCCCCTTTCTCCTTTTCTTTCCCCTTTCTCCTTTCTCTTCCTTTTCTGGGTATAAGCAGAACGCAGCTGCATCCTGCCCAGCTGCAACACGCGTGGCCTGGCCAAGGCAGTGATGGTCCCTCCGTGACCAGTCAAGCCACGTGTCCTGTGCTGTTGCCAGCCCTGCCTGTGCTCTGCCTGCACCCTGACAGGGGGCAAAAATTGTCTCTTAGATCCCATACGGGAAGAAATACGACAAGTCGTGGCTGCTGAGCTCCATCCAGAACCTTTGCAGCGTCCCCTTCACTCCTGTCGAGGTGAGCAGGACCCAGGTTCCTGGGTTTTGTTTCACTTCACATTTTGGGGGAGGTCGGGGCAGGCTGGCAAGCTGGGACAGGGGCACGTGCCCCCCAAGAGGTCAGCCGTGCTCCAGCTCTGTGGTTGCTGCTGCCTGGACCTGAACCCTTCTCCTTTTCAGTTCCACTACGACCACAACCGGGCCCAGTTCTACGTGGAGGATGCCACCACTGCCAGCGCCCTCAAGCAGGTCTCCCGTAAAATCACCGACAGGGACAACTACAAGGTGTGCGGCTCCTCCTGCGCCTCCTTCCGCACTGTCGGGATGGACGGGCTGGGGGCTACTCCCTGTGGGAGCGATCTTATGACACAGCCGTTCCTCCCTGCCTTGCGTGGGTGCGTTTGCTGCCAGCATCCTCTGCCTCACGCTGTGCTCCGCTCTTTTTGTAGGTGGTGATAGTTATCAACGCATCAGCTCCTCCTCAGTCCTTGCAGAACGAGCTGAAACCGGAGGAGATTGAGCAACTGAAGGTGAGCAGGGCAGGCGGCTGCAGGCTCTGGGTGGAGGGAATGAGGCAGAGCCCGCTCGGTCTCATCCTTGTTGCGTTGTCCCAGCTCTGCATGAGTAAGAGGTATGATGGTTCTCAGCGAGCTTTGGACCTCAAGAGCCTCCGCGTCGACCCAGGTAAGTGCTGCTCACCACCCCGGGGATACGAGGGGCAGGAAGGGGCTGTGGTGGGCAGCACCTCACCCACCCTCCCCCCTCATTTCTACTTTCTCCCCCAGATTTGGTGTCACAGAGCATTGACGTGGTGCTGAACCAGCGGAGCTGCATGCTGGTCGTGCTGCGCATCATCGAAGACAACATCCCTGAGGTGAGAACGGGATGCCTCTCCCTGCTCCGGTGGCAGCACCCAGCCCCCCCAACCCCCTTGTCGGTATCCCCCCTTAACCCTTGTCTGTATCCCCCTCTAACCCCCCTCTCTGTTCCCCCGTAACCCCCTTTTCTGTCCCTGCAGCTGCAATCCCTGAACCTGAGCAGCAACAAGCTCTACCGCCTGGACGACCTGTCCGAGCTGGCACAGAAAGCCGCCGGCCTCAAGATCCTCGACCTCTCTCGCAATGAGGTGGGTGCCACCCTGAACCCCTCACCCCTTC